GAGGCAGAACTGGATTCAACAGCCACCCTGAGGGAGGCCCAGCTGTCCTCATTCTCCAGTCAGACAAGACTGCTGAGGCTGAGGAGTGACAGGTTTGTCCAGTCTCCTGGCTTAGAAGAATGATGGGGGAGGCTTTGACATTCATCTTTTGTCCCAGAATGTCTGCTAAACTCTTGGGCCATGGGCTTATTGGGCAATTTTCTCTTACTCTCTCCTTCCCCATCCCTGCCTTCTGTCTTCCTTCTCTAAGGTATCCTCTCTAAGGTATCGTTATAGAATATGTGAGAGATGGAAAGTAGATAGGAGATCGAATACCTGGCCTTCATCCTGTTGCTATGGGAACAGTTACCTGGAGCTGCCTGACAAAGGACCACAACCTCCACTTGGGGGTCGGAGGAGTTAAAACAATGATGTTTACTCTCCTGCCACTCTGGATTCTTAAAATCAAAGTGCTGGCAGGGAGGGTTGATAAGGAGCTACACAGGAGAGGGAGGGTGCCCTGCCAATACAGATTCCATTCTGAATCCCAAGTGTCATTTTACGACTTGCAGGCTCCAGAGCAGATGGTCCAAAGAACGTCTTCGATTGCAGTGAAAGAACGTGAGAATGTTCCAAACTTTTAAAAGTGTGTGTGCGTGCGTGTGTGTGTGTGCACGTGCGTGCACACTTGAAGCATGTGTGTTTGTGTGCTCTCACAGGCCAAAAGGCTGAATAGTTGCAGTGCAAGCCTTTAATCCCAGGTCTCAGGAGACAGAGGCAGACAGATATCTGTGAGTTTGAAGCAAGCCTGGTCTACAGAGAGAGTTCTTGGATAGCCAAAGCTACATAGAGAAACCCTGTCTGAAAATAAAACAAAACATTTTAAGATAGGGTCATGTGTAGACCAAGCCTCTCTCAACCCTGCTATGTAGTAGAGGCTGACCTGGAATTCTTGATCCTCCTGCCTCTGCCTCCCAAATACAAGGGCTTCCACTACCGCATACGATTGCTGCTGTTTGGACTTGGAGACTGGCTGAGTTCAGGGTGGCCATGGTCCTCCTGCCTCTACCTGTGTGGTGGTCAGGTTAAGGTGCCCACCACTGTGGCTAGCTCCTCTGGGAGCTGATTTTTGTATCTTTCATCAAGTAAAGTCTGGGCTTCATTGGGTCTTCATTCAATTTTTACTTGGTCCAACTTGGCACAAATGGTAGCCCTGTGCTAGAGACCCTCCACATGATTTTCCACTTCTCAGAAGTTGAAGTTTCCATCAGGATCCATGCCCTGAGGTAGTGGGAGGCAGGAGAAACAGCCGAGTTGTATGGCAGAGCACACCTGTCAGAGTCTGTGTAGTCCCAGCTCCTGGGAGATAGAGGCAGGGGGATTGGGAGTTCCAGGTCATCCTTGGCTATCCAGTGAATTCTGGCCAGCTCAGGCAACAGGAGACGTTTGTCTTTGTTGTTTTCCAGAAGGCAGGAGATATGGCTTAGCAAGTAAAAGTGTTTGCCCTCTAGTCTGATGACCTGAGTCTGATCCCCAGGCCCCACAAGGTGGAAGGAGTAGACTTTCTCCGGAGGATTGGCCTCTGACCTTTCCCACTTGTGCAGTGAAATGTGTACTCATAATCAATAAAGAGAGAGAGAGAAAGGGAGAG